ATGTCAATGAGGTTGTTTCTGAAGCCTGGTGTTTATGTCATTCCTGAATGGGAAGGAAACCCTAATTTCCCTTGATGTCTTTTCTCAGAGAACTTTTTAAATGTGAAATGTATGTAATTGGGCTGTCAGGGGAGCTGGTGCAAAGCTTGTGTGAGATTTAGGAGTGAGATGTCAGCATGACTGAAAGATCATTCATGTGATTGTGTAGAAATAGCATTTAAAGGACAATGAGGCAGGGATATGGGGATACAGATATTTGAGACAGTCCTGCTCTGTGGTCCTGTGGGGCAGTGAATGATTTGCCCAAGATTTCACAGGAAGTCTGTGATTGATTAGGTAACTTGCTAGGTTTGAGGCTGCCTTACTGGTACCTCCCAGATGATAATATTTTTGTCATGGTATCAGCCATACACCACTTACGTTTGCTGTGAATGTAACATGATTTCTATCTTTGGATATACATATGTTAAAAAATTGAAACCTGACAAAGCTCATCAGTCCAGTTCCCAGTGCAGAAAGGTGATGTGACCTTCCAGGGCCGCACATGTCAGCGGAGAGACAGTAGCAGGCAAAGCACAGCGTGGGAGCAATGTGGTACCATCATATCTATGAAACAAGACCTCCCCATCAGGCAGCTTTCTCTCTTCCCATTGTGTATTAAGGTGTTTCTTTCCTATCTATGTGAGGTTCCCATTGTAGGCCAACCTTTTTGATGAACAGCTCATGCTGCTGTTGAGCCAGGGCTGGGCCCTCACTATCTGCGTTTGAAAACCATTAAATGTGTGACCATCTTAGCAAATTGACCATTGTATAGATCCTGAACACCTCCTTAGACCAGCACTCAGGTCTGGCTGGCACTGCCTGCTTTTGTCATGTTTAAAGATCTTGTGCCTCTATGCTGTTACATGCTTTTTATAGATTCACTGGGAGCTCTAAAGCGGTCACTTGCAGCTCACTGTGATTTACCCTGTTTTCTGCTGTGCAAAACTGTTTGTCAGTGGAGCCGCGATTTCAGGAGGATGTTTGCACAGAAATATAATGAGGCTTGGCTGGTCCTCGGGAGTGGGAGCGATTTTGAATGCCTGCTGACCTCACGGGGAATCTGGGCTGCGCTCAGGCAGAAACCACTGAGCTGGAAACAAAAACCTGGAGAAACTAAAGCAGGCTCTCCATCTTCTGCTCTGAGTTAGTAAAGGGGTATTTTATCCAAAAGTCTGCAGCAAACAGAAGAAGATACATTCATAGCTTGGTTTTTTTTACATTATTTTTAACAGTAATAATACAACTTTTTTACATGGGTCTGTGCTTTTTGGTGTGTTCAGGTAAACTGTTCACTTCCAAATTAGTTGGCCCTCTCTTTGATTCTGTCCTGATGAATAGCTTTGAGCTTGCTCTTTCTCCTGGGTGTGGGGCCTGAGGGTAAGGTCCCTGCACAGGATCTGCAAAGTAGGGGGATGCTTTTACACTCTTGAAACTACAGAGAAAAAGATGTATTTGTTTTAGAGTCAGGTTTATTATCTCCCATTCTGTAAACAGCTCTATAGTGGTTACTTTCTGATTTCCACTGTTGCACAATGTATACAATTACAGGAAAAATATATGCAGGGGCTGTGTTTGAATAAGAAGCAGGACAAACCTGTTTTTTGTCCAATAGCACTTTTTTCTGGCCCTTTAAGAATCCACTATCTTGTGGTAATAAATCGCATTTTGCACTACAAAGATACAGAGGCTTGAACAAAAAGGCTGTGGGTTACAGAATTGTTCCTCACAGGGTTGCTCTGCCCTCTTTCCAACATTTTCTCTCCTCTAGAAAATGGAAGGTTTGCTTATACTTAAAATAAAAAAATAAAAAGAGAAGAGTTGCCCTTGGCCAGAGATCAGTCATGGAAAATTTCAGCCCCATCAGAGAACGTTTTGGAAGCGTATGAGGCTGTAAGCAGATGATCTGATCCTGATGCCACTTAGCTCACAGCTGTTTTACTCCTCTTTAACAGCAGTGACTGCCATGGATTTACCCATGATTTGCCGGTATAAGCTGGGATGAGAATTGGGCTGTGGGTTATAACTCTGTCTGCTCAGCAGCCTCTGCACTAGCAGTTCCTAATGGCAAAAGAGACAGTGAAAGATGCTATTAGAGTCCTTGTTCTCCTGAGTAGTGGTAGTGAATGTGACTATTTGTATGTTTAAGGCTGCAAGACCAAAACCTGCCTAGCTGTGCTATGAATAGTGAGAGGTGAACCTGAAAAGATAAAGTGCCTTAATTCACATGGAAATCCTAACTTTCAGGTGTTTATCTTGACCAGGTGTATTTGGCCCACCACATGCATTTTGGTTTGGTATTTTAGCACTTCAGGCACTCAGCTGAATCACTACGAAGGGCAAATATCAATTAAAATAATGTTAAGCTGCTCTGCCTAAATCATCCATCTCTTCTTACAAGATTTTTACAAAGATTGAAGGCTCTTGCGGAAGTTGGTGTTTCGAGTACACTGATCATTGGGATAACTGTTCAATTTACCAACACTCCTAAGACCACCTTTGTTTGGTTGGCTCTCTGTGGCTGTGCCTATGCTGGTTTTGCAGGTAGCAGTGTCTTGTGCTTCTCTGCTGGTGGGTGCAGTTTTCTCTCCTGCCCAGAAGAGCATGGAGAGCTGTTTGTGCAAGGAGAGAGGCGCAACTGCCTGTCTCTTGTGGGAGAGATTAGACTGTCGCGGTCTTATTCTCCGGGAGCAAAGAAAATAAGATAAATAGTTTGGTGAAGCTGATTTATTTTTTTTAATAATCATATATCCTCTTCAACCTCTTAAGAATACAGCTGTGCTTATTTCAAATTACTTGCAGTACAGCATTGAAAATGACATGTCTGGTTGTATGTCTACTTCTCATGAATACTCTGAGGAAAAAAGTGTCTTTGAGATTGCTGCTCCAATACTTGTCTTACTTTCCCCTGCACATCTGCTAGAGCAGCTGTTGGAGACAGGACATTGGGTGAGACATAGCTTTGGTGTCACCTGCTAAATCTGTATGCCTCAATTTTTGTATGTGCAGTGCCTACCACTGGTGTCCAACATCATCTGATCCTCTTCTCAGTCAACCTGTGCTATACAGTACTTTCATGTTATTTGAACTACAGAATTAAGTTCTAGTCTAGTGTTTCATATACTCTGAAAAGTACTCCCTGTCAACAGCTCCGGGGCACTTGTGCTGCAATTTGGGCCAATACTGGCTCCACCTGTTGTTGCTTTCCCCCATTAGTTATGTAGGTGCAAGTAGACTTTGAGACACCTCCTTCTGTTATAAATAAAACTTGAGATGAAAGACTACTGTGTAACTGTAGAACATATTCAATTTATACCACTCCAGGACCTGGGGAGCCGAATTGGACAGCTTCATGGATGACTTCCAGCCTGCAGAAGATGTTACTTTTATCATGCAATTAAATAGGGCTGAATATGTTTGTTAAAAACATGGGAAAAAAGTTGTTGGTAACTAAGGAAGCAGGACTACTTACTTAGTGTCCCTAGTCACGAGTTATACTCAGTGTTTCTTAAAAAATATCCTGACATCAGGAGATGTTTGTTTTATTATTAATTTCGCCAGTGTCCTACTTGAAGTGGGTGTTCGATCTGATTTTTGGTCATCAAAATAAACCCCAAAGTCAACAGAAAAATGCAGGCCATGATGAAAAGGTAGAACTTCTTAAGATTTTATAGCTGATAGATGTTGTCTAAAAGTATTAATAATCTTAAATTCTTAAATCATTAGCAACAAATCTCTTAGCTCTAGCAGACTTGTCAGGATTCTACTGATTGTTGCTGGTGAATTAAATCTTGGTAATTGCTGTGCAGATGTCATATGTAACAAACATTTAGTGACATGTCAAAGAAGGCATTTTTTCTTGTTCTTTTCCCATGAAATCCCTTCAAAGAGTCATCCCTGGGTCTTGCAGATTTTGATCCTGGAAAGTCTCAGGGAGACAACTTCATTTACAAGGCTGGGTTTGGAGTGTGTGCAGATACCTGCAGATTCATCAAGAGTCAAGGAGTAGAACTTCTTTTCAATGACATCCTAGGGCCAGGACTTCCATCCATTAATTATGTGAAAGAGGACTTCCTTTAGTCAAAGCTGCCAATTTTTAATGTAATTGAATGTCACCTTATCCTCATATGACTAGGGAAGAAAAGCAGAATCTCTTGCTCAACATCTATTTGTTTTATGACCTTACATATTTTTGTGTCACTCAGGGCTTTGTGTGTCCAATAAAAGCAGGCAAAGGCTGTATTTACCAGAATTTGAGCTAGAGGTACCAGGAACTAAATTTGTCTTCTGCTTTTTTGGCTTATGGAAAACCTTAAAACTGAATAGTTGCAACTGGTGCTCTCTCAGGTAAAGGACAGGGTCTCATGTATAAGGAGGTGCTGTGGCTCTCTAGGTCTGGCTGCTGGTGATCATCAAGCAAGAGACTCTTTTTCTGCAGCATCTTTTAGCTTTTTCTGTGCTGGTCAGACAGAAAATCAGTGAATCAGGACCATCTTTATTAGTAATATTCAGTATATAACTTTCCTACTCAAGGACTTAAAAAACCTTTGTAAAAATAAGAAAAAATGGGCTGAGCAATCTTACTGTTGTTGTGTCATATTTGATCCACTATTTTCTTCTTTCTTTTGGGAAATTAAATGAGTGAAAATAAATGTTAGGAAGTACGCAAAATAAGCTTACATTTGTAAATAAACATGAAGAAAATATGTTGCTTTAGGCCAGTTTTATAAAGCTGAATCTGACAGTTTCAATTCGGTAAATACTGATAAGCAGACAGAAAACCCCTTTCTTTCAAAACTTGGGCACTGAATCCAGGTGTCACCTTTTTCATGGTAGCTGGCCAGTTAAATATATTTCAGCATAATCTTATAGAGGAATTTGACTGCAGATAGGATGATTAGAACTCCTCAAGTTGCCTTATGAATTCTACTTTTTGATTTTAGAATAACTCTGTCATACAGGATGATGAACTGCCAGTCACACAGGAAAAGAAAATCAGACAGACATTTCTTTTCTGGAAAGATTAAACTCTCTAGAGGCTGGTAAAAACAAAGAAAATCAAGTACATCATCTTTCATATTCACATCAACCCATCTATTGTGGAAAACATCAGAAATCAGCGTTTTCTCATTCAGCTGAAATATTATTTCTGTGCTATTTCTAGACTGAAGAGACAAATGTCGACGAAGTGAACACGTTTAATAATCACCCAAAGGAAAGAGAAAGACACTGAAAAATCCAAAGCGCAATCCTGCTCTTTGTCAGCCACCACTGCTGCTTCCAGAGATGGCCGCTGGGAAGAGCAAATGCTGGTTCCTGGGAGTCACAGAGCTATGACATTTCACCAGTAGCTGTCTCCTTGTCTCTCTCAAGTGATTTTGTATGTTTGCGTGGCTTTTTTTCCTGCTTCTTTTGTGACAAAGTGGGTATGGAGAAGGACTAGACACAGATGTCTAGGAACTGAGTGGAAGGAGGTCAACTTGTGTTGCTCCCATGCCATTTCACAAAAAGCAGAAAAAACATCAGTTAAACACAGGTGACAGAGGGGGTAGGTGATTGCTTGTGCTGACAGGTGGGTGGTCACTGCCCGTGTGTGATTGTGTGGTCTGAAGGCTTTCCCAGAGCAAGCTTTTCTTTGGTGGGCCACAGGCCCTTTTCTGCAGTGGTGCACATGCTCTGTGACTCCTGTTGAAAGCAGCATGCACAGTTGAAATGAGGTGCAAAAAGTTTAATCATTTGATCTTTACCACTACCCAGTGATGATTTAACTGCTCCTGAGTAAACACTAATACTTCAAAGAATGCTTGTGTTAATTTGGCCTTGGAAAAAAAGACATGTAAGATGCGTGACCTCTGCTGAGGCATCTTTTGATGTCCTACATTAATACTAGATTTGATGGCTGTTCTTTTTTCTGTCTCAAAGGAGGTCCTCAGCAATGTTTTTTCTGCCTGCCTGCTGGCTCAGTTTCTTACTTGGGCTGATGGTTGTGAAGTGATATGCATTAGAGAGCAAAGCAGAGCCACTTTTTGTAATGCTATGAATGAGACAGAGTAAAGTGTAGTAAAGTGTAGAAGAGAAATCAGTTATATATTCACAGGTATATGTCACAAGTTGTGCTTGAAATGTGAGCATATCTTTCAAGAAGTTTAAGTTAATATTATTAAGACGACCCTCCTACGTCTCTTCTTTGTGCGTCAACATTTACTGATGGTGTACTGGTGGTGCATGTACTTGTAGTGCAAAGTATGTAGTTATGCCTGGAATATAACTCCATGATCCATGAATCTTAGACTTGTGGGTCACTTGTAGACATCAGTGGTGGTATCTCAGTAAGCTTTCTAGCTTTTTATGTGATTAGCATACTGTTTGGAAATTGTGCAAAGATTTTTCTTTGTGACATGACAGCTGGTTACCAGGCACAGCACAACCACTGCAACTCGCCCATCTCATGCATATATGATGAATCATTTTCTATTTTTTCTGTTAATGACTCAGCAACTCAAGAAGTGGGAGTGACCACTTGCTGCATTTTTGAGCTGCTAAATAGCATCTGGCAAAAGCCATTCTTGTGCAACTTTTTTGGCTAAAGTGGGCTTGCTGATGTATGGCAGTCAGAGGTGCAGTTGGATGGCCCAGAGATGTGCCTCATCAGTGCAGCCACATAGGAAGTGTTGTTATTTGCGTGCTGATAAGAGTGTGATGTGGACTGACAATAAAGATGACTGCAAACCCAGTGATTACATTCTGTTGAAAGACCCTGTGCAAGTGTTTGATTATGGCTGTTGTGTTCATTCGACACCTCTTTTGTGGCCATTTTCCTGTATGAAGCATAAAATTATGTAGCCTGTGCTACACTCATATAGTTTGATACAGCTTGCTACAGAAGACATTGAGGTACCACAGGAAACTGACATGTATTTTTCTCACCAGAACTGTTCATCCTTCAGCTTTCCAGTTTCTGCAACTGCCTATCTGAATAATAGATATTGTTCCCGTGCAAGCTTTGTCCCTTTTTCCTTTGAAGGTAAGTGTCTGTGTGGGTGAGCTGTTGATTGATCAGTTAATGCACTCTCAGCCAGAATTAAGTGGGCAGATCTTTGTGCAGTGTTCCACACGAAGAGCTGCAAGAACACCTCAACTTTTCATCTATTCACGTTCACACACTTGCTTAAACATGTCTGTGCTCACACTGACTCGTCAGTAGGTGATAAACAATATGTTTTTCCATGTATTTTTGTAATGAAACTTGGTCAGGAAATTTATGGCTTGGGTGACTGCCTCTGTTAAATAAATGTTAAGCATGTTAAATATAAGCATGTTAAATAAAGTATTATTTAACATGCTTACGTCCACAATGATCTTTGGTGATGTAACTTTGATCAGGCATAGCTATATATATACCCCTATGTTGATGACAGTAGGTTATAAAGTTCATTTTCCTTCTGGAGTTTCAAAATTCAGATTAACTAATTGTTAGGAAAGGTTTATAAAGAAAGGAGTAGCTACCTAAGCAAAATAAGAGAGCCGTTCAGTAAGATGTGTTTTGAATGTGCATGTCAAAACAGAAAAAGGGTTTTAGAAATGGAAAAATCTTTCATTAGGTCCATTATTGATATAAATCCACCAAGCTTTGCATTAAAGAAATTAAAGATGTAACTCTAGAAATCAAAACGGAAGAAAACTGTCTGGAAACACAGCATATATAAAGTACTTTGTGTTCTCAGAAGAGGATATCTAATTTTATTTTTTAGCCAGTAAAGGTCATAGTTCACATCTTAGTGCCCCCGTGCTTGGAAATCCACCACAGGACTTCAGTGATCTAGATTCTGTGAAACATTTCCATTTTTTGCTTAGTTTGAGAAATCTTACCTCACCTCAGGAAAGTCATTTAGCTTCTCTGTACCTCAGTTCCTCTTCTGTAAAATGGAGGTAACATTTTCACTCTTCATGAGTGCATTATAAACTCCCCCCCCCCGAATGCCTGAGACGTGCAGGCAGAACAATGGTGGGACCTCAGATAAAGTGCATTGTTTGCTTGAATTTTATTCTGCATTTTAAAAAGCTGCATAAAACTTGCAAAGATGTCAAAATGTTTGCTCACAAGTACAAAATTGGTCAGTTTTAGAAACAAGACCCTGTCACACTGACCTTATTATAACTGTGCTTATGATGATTCAGAGCATTACACTGACAGCAGCACTGCCTAATAAGGATCAAGAGAAAGCCCCAGTCTCTGTGCATAGCTCACAGAATGAAAAGCCAATGCACCCAAGCCATAAGTAAGAAGGTGCAAGCCAAAGGTGAAGGCGTTATCGTATATGTCTTGTAATTCCCCCCCCCCGCCCTTTCCACACTGCACCTTTCCATACTTCCTACCCTGCAGAGGGGATCTGCCCTTCCTCTCCACCAGGTCCCTCACTGATTCCCCACTGTGCTCTGTGGGGAGAGCCGCTGCCTGCCGCCTTGCCACGGCTCTTTGGCGGAGAACCTGCATTGCAGGTTTCAGCTCAAAACAAACATTCATGGCTGAGTTATGAACTCCCAGAGGGATAGATGGTGAAGTGGATTAAAGCACTAACTCTTTGCCTTTGGCTCGAAGCTGCATTAGGACAAAAGTTAGACTAAGTTTCAGAGTTAACTTTCATTTGTCAGTATGGCTTGGGTTTGGACATGGCAAAAAAGACCAGGAATGAAATGACACTGGTTAAGACACATTGGCAAGCTGTCAGGAGGAGCCTACACAGTGCGCGAGACAGTTTGACGTATTCAGTGCTGACAAGTTTTGTCAATGTTTCAGGAAATGTTTCAACTTCAGAAATAAAACCCAACACCTATGGACAGCCCTCTGGAGCAAGGGCCTGTGGAAAGAGAAGCTACACAGCATGGTGGTTGGGAAAGGCTCTCCTACACCACACTACAAGGGTGTCTGAGGATAGCCTGTGTCCTCAGTGGTTGGCCTGTGTCCTTCGTGAGTGGCTTTTTACTGTCCCATGTCTGCAGGATGGCATCTCCTCGGGATTCTTAGTACTTCTTGTGTGCTTCTTTGCAGTCATCCTCTGGTGCTGGGCTAGGCCACCTGCACCTCATGTACCACATGGGAAATGTCTGGGAGAGCCTGTGTTCTGGTAATAAGTTTTTAGGCTTTTCCCCTGTGTGTTTGAGTCAGGGAGGATGAACAAAACCTTAACTGTGGGATATATGGCTGTGAAGAAGTCTTCTGCTCTCCTCACACCTGCCTTATGGAAGAAGGAGTGGTGCTCAAAAATTTCATTAAATTGCCAAAACTTTCCAAGGCTGAGTAACAATAGACTGGTTTTGGTAAAATAAGAGGCAGATCCTTAAGAAGTATGTACGTGCGAGTCAGTGTTTGCTCTTCCTCTCCCACAGCAATTGTGTGAGTTTAATTCCATTTGCTGTTGTAAGGTAGCAAACAGAGGAATAAAAGTATTAAGGAAGGCTTACCTGAATAATAATTAATTTTTTCCTCAGGATAAAGAAAACTGTCTTCAGTGTATGGGAGCCACCACATCTGAGAATATTTATAACTGTTCACTCATGCAAGGAGCCCCAGGGCTCCTGTGGAGACTCTCGGGACACCAGGTCCAGCCCAGGACCCACAGTGGGTGCTGAGGTGCTCTTCTAGCTGGCACCCAGGCAGCCCTCACCTGCTTCGAGCCCTTGGTTTGGGGATGGGAAGGGATGTGTCTGGGGAGAGAGGAGGAGTGGCTGTAAAGGGGATGAAGCAGTGAGCTGGAGAGAGACTCGGGGAGGGAGGGAGGCTTTCTCTAAAAAACAGCTTTTATAGACACATTTTTCATTTTTCTAATATCATAAGCCACACAAATGGATGCACAGGTATCTGAGCTGGATGGGAAGGAGAGAGGGGGGCGTCCTGCACTGGACTGATGTCTGCTGCCCTTTGGAAGTAGTGCTGCAGCACCCCACATCTGCAGGCTCAGTGGTTGCTGTGGGGCTGAAACGTTCCTGCTCAGGAAGCAATGTGGGACGTCTATTTGGTACCACTTTCTGAAGTCAAAGTAGTTTCTTCCAAATGAAAAAAAAGTCTCTTGCTATATAAAAAGATGCTAAACCTTTGAAGGGAGCTGTTTGAATAGAGGCTTGTGACTCAGAATGCTTAGAAAGGGTTTTTTCTCTCTGATCAGGAGCACTCTCAAATGCAGGTTGTGAAGGAAATAGGAGGATGGTGGCTGTTTTCACTGATCTCTGTCAGAGCATTGAGGTTCCTGATGGATAAACAGCTGGTTGATAACTTGAAAAGCTTTGAATAAAGCACCGTGACCTCTTTCTTGCTTCTTAAACTGAAAAGAAAGTCAGTGGGGAGGAAGGGGAACCGGGATTGAAACCAGTTTCCATCTATTCCCTTTCTCATTCACCTACAGATGCTGAGCTCAGGTGTCTTCTGCACTCTAAATTTCTTCATTCTATCTTCTTCCAATCCTCTTGCTCCTTTAGGCCAACATTATGAGCACCAGAATTAGTACACTGGTGGTGCATTATATTTGATCTACCAGAGAGGAGAAAACAGAAAAGAAAGGGCACAGCACTTTATTTTTTGTGAAATGCAAGTAGCTTATTCTGACTTCAGTTAGGCTTCCGGAAGCATCTGACCAATGCTAAGTTGGAGGTTAACAAAAATCTCACACTTAACCCAGTTTTTGTAATATGTTAACTAGCTGTGAGGCGTATTTGGAATTGCAAGAAATGCTCTACCAGATGTCACTGAGTCAAAAAATAGCTAACCTTAATCCTACATACACCCATAGTCATACATACATGCCCTGAGAGATTAGTGTTGGTCAGCATTTCTGCAGGATGAGTTTTTACCTGAACACCTGAAAACATGCTAGGTACAGCTTATGCCTGTCACCCGAATTAATGCACAAACTGGGTAATAACTATTCATAGTGATGATACGTACGGAGCAAGTAGAGCAAGCGTGTTCCAAGTACAAAGATCAAGAGAAGTGATCAAAAAAGTTATAATTTAAATTTTAGTTATATAGGCTCACTTGATTTTTGAGAACTGGCAAAAAGCAATCTGTATAGTACATCAGTATAATAAGCTGTTGGTATATGCCTCAGGACTATTGAAAGGAAAGCTAGCGAGCTGAATTGCATTTGTGCTTCAAGCTCTTAAAACGCATGATGAATAAATGTGTCTGCAGGTTCATCTAGATTTATAATGCTGTATTTTCATGTGATATCCTCTGCATAAAAT